GAGTACACAGTAGGTTGACTTGGCTGTAACGTGGGGCATGTGGAGCCGGAGGTCATTCAAGTAAGGACGGGGAGGTGAGCTGTGCCACAGATGAAGGATCTAATGCAACTGGCCAAAGAACCTGCCTTTAATCCTGGAAGCCAGTGGAGGCCTCTGAAGGGTTTTAAGCAGGTAAATGCTGCAGTCAAATTTGGTTCTAAATGAGGAGGATATCTATGAAGATATGGAATGATTCATGGGACATTTTGTTAAGTGAAAAAAACAATGTGCAAAAGACAATCTACAATGTGCTACCTTTTGTAGGTAAAGAAGGGGAAATAAGAAAATATCCATATATCTGCTCAATGATGTGAAAATAAGCAGGAAGAATAAACTAGAAAACATAAGTATGGGGTGGGGAAAAGATGATAAGGAGGGGGATGGAAACAGAGTAAAGGGAACGGGGGAAAGCAAGACTTCTCTGAAGAAACCTTTTTATATAGTTCTGACTTTTGAAACCGTACTAAAAAAGAATCAGTGGGAATGGAGGATAACCCTACAGTGAAATACAAACAGGAATGAATGGGAGTGGGAAAGAACTAACCTAAGTAACTTTTGAAAATAGTCCTTTGAAGATATGCAGTTGGATGAAGACAGAGGAACTATAAATAAATCTTGAACTCTATTTTTCACAGAGATGTGGCTAGCACTTCCGAAACTACTTTCTGTATATTTTAGGGTTGAGAAAATAAGCATATTGTAGATAATGGAAACAGAGTTTGTTGGAGAAGGGAGTTTAACAATATGGAACGACAGAGTGTATGAGTATGAACTTGGGGTTTTTAACATGAATGCATGGATGGATGGATGGATGGACGGACGGACGGGAAGATAGATAAATAGCCAGAAATGAGATATGTGTGTACATGTGAATATATTTCCTAGCTCTGTCCCTGACAGGGCCTAGAAGTAGTGACACCCCAGTAGCAATGAGCATACCTAGTACCCAAACCTTGGTTTCAAAAACCATTCCCCACTAGAAAGAATCAGGGATCTTTGGGAAAATGACTGATTTCAGGATAGTACTGAGGAAGAAAAAGATGATCCTGAAATATTTTGTAGTACCAGAAAATAAAGATGTGATCAGAGAATGATAGGAATATGTCTAAAGAACAAGGAATCACCTTGAATGAGCTTGCTGTGGCCAAATCTGGGACAATTTGAAAATCAAAACAAATAATGATGGTAACGGATTATAAGCCATTGAATAAAGTAAGAGTCCATGAATATAAGTAAATATATATTATATGTAAAAGTAATACACATTTATACTTATGTATTATGTATATTTATATAAACATTTTATATATTTATAGTATATGTAGTATTTATAGTATAAGGTATAGTATAGTATAAAGAAAGAAAGAAGGGAAAGCTCTCCCTCACAGTAGAATCCCAACTAATATAGAAGGGAGGATGGAATTAGAAATTCACTATCATAGTAATAATTAATCCAGGAAAGAATCATCAGTGGGTGCTAAAACTAGTGGATAAAAGTTTGATGAGTAATTACAAAATTACAGCAACCTGAAGCAGGATGAGATCAAGTTCATAAATCTATGTTACAGCACAAAGCACCCAAATGCTGTCAGCTGATTGTCATGTTGCTAAGTGGTTGTATTTGCAATAGGATGATAACAATAATTATTTATTGAGTATCCATTGTGTGATAGGCATTATGCTAGGTGGGGTTTGGGGGTTTTTTTGTTTGTTGCATATATTAACTCAATCCTAATACTAACTCAGATTTTTTTATTAGTTATTCCCATCTTTAAGGTGAGGAAACCAATATTCAAGAAATGAAAAAAATTGTTTAAAGTCAAATAGTTATAAGAGGCAGAGTCAGGACTCAAATCCCCTGCCTTCTGACTTCAAGTTCTGTGGTGTTCTATCACGTTGTGTGTCTCTGGGTCCTCTTAGCGTTCTGAGCTTCTGAAATGTGCAGAATGATAAGATCAGAGAGGCATTTTTAAACAAAAGCATTGGGGGGTTCCTTCTGTATCCTCACCATATTTACTAAGCATCTTGCCTCATATTTCCTGTCTAAAAATAGGAAAGGCAATGCTTAATTTACATGGTTGTTATGAGGACTAAATTAGATAATATATGTAAAGCATAGAGCACAGTATAAAATGTGTCTGGCAGCAGTGTTAATACCAGTTGCAATGCTGAATTCCCTTGTATGGTGGAAAATGTTTCTAAGGGTCCCGCTTTGGGACTGAATTGATAATCAAAGGCCAGATCAAAAAGAGCTTTGTGTATCATGAAAAGATTACCTTTTATTCTATAGGCAATAGAAACCACTGAAGAATTTTATTACTGGGAAAGATGTGATTTGGTTGGCAATTTAGAGCAGACCAAGGGGAAGAACACAAAACCCAAGGCAGGCGGACCAGCAGGAGGCTGTTGTCAGAGACCAGGCAGATGAGGGTCTGAGTTAACAAGCCACCTGGCATCGTGGAGAGGAGGGAACACACAATGAACAGTCACACTCCCAGACTGGTGCCTGGGTTTGGCAGGAGAGAAAGGGTGAGGAGCTTAGGTTCAGCCTCAGGCCTCTGGCCTGAGTATTGGCTCTTCTTGGGCATGACCAGAATACAGAGGAAGGGCAGGTTGGGGGCATGGAAAGGTGCTGATTCAGGGTAGTTTGGGACAGAGTAGGGAGTCACAGTAGACAGTTGGATATGCAGATCTGGATTGAAGGGAGAGTGCAGGGCTGGAGCAGCATGCCTGGGAGTCATTGAAGCTGTGGAAGTGGATGAGATCCCTGAGGGAAAGGGTGCAATGTAAGGAGAGGGCTGAGGATAGGATTGTGGAAACATCCAGTATTTAACAATGGCAAAAGAAAAAGTGGAATGAGACTGCGGAGGAACACTTACAAAGAT